GGGGGGGGGGGGGGGGGGGAAGTATATGAGATGCTATTAAAAAGGCTAGTTATGGGTACCTGAAAAGAACAAGTGTCAGTGGAATGAAAGTCCTCCCTCAAAATCACTATCCAACATGGGAAGCTATTTCCTGACCCCCAGACCCTGATGAAGAGCTTTGCTCTGCAGCTTCTTCCCCCTCCCAGAGCCCACAGGAGGTTCTAATACAGTGCTGTCCCAGCAGCAACTGGTATTCGCTCACTTGCAGCACAAAGGTAGAGACAGTTGTATGCAGCACCACTACTGCTGTCTGGGAAAATGCTTTCAAAAGCAGCTGACCTTTAAAGATTTATGTCAAGTGATGTTAGAATAAACTATCAGTTAGCTCCTTGACAGAGACAGATTACCAGGGTTTTTCTTTAGGATGCTGAGGCAGGGAAGAGACTATTCCATTTAAAACCAGAATTAAACTTATGACTGTCCTTGCCCAGCTGGCACAGACTTTCTAAGTTCTTCCATGTTTTGAGCTGACCACCCAAAAAACTTATCTAGGAAATTGAAAAAAAGGAGGTTTTGTACAGGCAGAATAACATAAGAAGTGGAGGTGTTGTTAGCAGAAACACATGACTGCAAACCTAGCTCGATCATTTGAGGTATTTTACTGCAAAGGAATGTGAGAAGGTACTTTTGACTCATACGGGTCTAAACTCAACTTTTGCTGGTCTGGCATAAAAGTTGTTCCTTATACCATCCTGAGGAAAATACAGAAAGGATTATATTTAAGGAAGTGTGGGGTGGGGGGGTGATTGAGTGATCCTGAGTCACCATTCCTCAGCTTAGAAGATCATTGAAGAGCAGCAACACTGCAATTCATTTCAACAGTTCAAGCACAGCTCATGCATCCCCTTCGGTAAACTCTTCTGTCAATGTAGTTTTATATAAACAAACATGAATGTTACTTGACATTCTAAAAAAAATATAAATGCATTTCATTGGCCAAAGTGTAGCTTGACTCAGGACTTTGTTGATTCTTACCTTCTGAATAACTTGTCTAAGGAATGTCAGAGTTGAGAAACAGAGGAAACTTTGTGGCCATATGAAATAATGTGTTTCCACTGAAGAATTTAAGCCAAGTTTTGTTCTTGCAGCTTACCAACCAGTCAGTTCTGAGAAGTCATATTTCATTTGACTGCTTCCTACTTCTAGAACCTTTTTGATTTGATGGCACTTTTTTGTTCAGTTTTTCCCTTACAGAACTAAGAAGAGGTTTTAATACTTAGTGATTTTGCTTTTATGTGGAATCATGGTTTCTGAGGTTATAAGCATAGCTGCAGGGCTGTTTGAACGGAAGTGCTGTCATCCTTAGACCACCCTGGAAGTTTTATGTTGTTAACCACTTTGGCTAACAAAGTTAGGTTGCTGAGCAAAAGTCGTAACATCAAAAGATTTTACAATGTAGTCAAAACATGTAATGGAATCAAACTGCAGGTTTAACAAAAGTTTTAATTTGTCTAGCTTTTAGTTATAGCTAAAGCATTAGTTTTAAAAGAGGTAATCAAAGATAAGAAAGGGCAGTCATCAGGCACAGTAGATGCTCAACAATGTATGCGCTTTTGAATTATAGAGGACAGAATAATGAAAATCAGAACGATCAGAACAAAGTGTAATAAAACCTAATGTGCTTTCAACAAAAAACTATGGCACTGGATTATTTAATAACTGGATATTTGGACAAGGGAAATATATGCATCCACTTGTAACAAACCATGAGTCAGTTCTCCTGGCCCTGCTGTACTGCTGTCTGCTGCAACTTCAGTGGAAGCACTTGTCAAGCTACAATTCAAGTAAGAACAGGTGAGTTCTGTAAGAAGTGATTCTTATTATGCTCCATCATTCTGGTGAAGATGGAACTAGTGACAAGCCAGGTACCCTGTTGTTTTTTTTTTTTAATTTTGAAATTTGCTATTTCAAAATAGCAGAGGTCTGCATGTACACTTAGCATTTGCCAGGGCACACATATCCCCTTCTGTAAGACCAAATAACACACCACTTTCTGGAGAGTTTTGAGGAAGAAGCCTAATGCCTGCATTCAGTGCACATGAGAATAAGCTGCATGGCAGATACAGACATTCAACATAAGTTTGACACCATCAAGAAGAAAGCAAAAATTCTGCTCCCCCAAGCCCCCTCAGCACTGCACTGTCAGCAAGTACCCATGCCAAAAGTCGTACTGCTGCTTTGCAAGCACCTACACTTCCTTGTAGCAGAACCAAGACAAAAGCTCTCCGCAGAGAGAGTTTAAAGATGCTACAAGAGTTTAAAGATGGCTCTTTTCAAGCAATACCTGGTTAACAGATGGCTTTCAAATCAGTTATTGAACTTGCAAGGTCATTTAAAATAAAGTGATGCAACAGAGACAATCCTGGAGTTTTAATACCAGTAACTGTGAAAAAATAGAGCTTGATCCTTAATCTGTGTTTTCAGTTAGACCTTTTCAATACCAGTTTTAAATCCTTTCCATTCTTTCTCAAAAAAAGGTCAAGAAATTTCTCCTCTGGAAGCCCATTGTTACCTGTTAAAAATAACAGACTGTATCAACAGCTAAAAATCATTTCTAGAGCTGTCGCCTCAAAAGGGATCCAACTTTGAGAAAACATAGAATCTAAAAAAAATAGCTGTTGAGGTAAAGCCAATTGTGTATGCTATCAACTTGGCATCTGAAAATTTATCACACAGAGGAAGAGACAGCAATCCACAAACTACAGAGATTCACAATTCATTTATTCCCCCTCCTTTTATTGACTTTTCAAAGAAATCCACAACAAAATCCATCCTAGTATGCCTCTGCTGTTAAAAAAAAAAAAAGCATTAAAAATGTATAGTTGAAGACAATACTGAATTCTGATAGAACTGCCATGTTCATTTAGAGTCATTATTATTATGGGACAGTGGAAGTGCAATGTACATTTAGTGATAATTCCTTTGCTGGCTAATGAAGATGTTAACCAAAATAATGAGAACAATAATTGATCAGTGTATATGCCTTCTCCTTAGAAGCCAATCAGCCATAAATAGGGTTTTTTCATTGTCATGCAGGAATGATTGTACTCTACTTACTTGGGCTTCTGAGTTTTCATGTTTTAGGGAGTTGGATGGCTGACAATTTTTGGGAAAATGAGACTGTTAAAGGTGAAAGCTGTTTATAAATGTTTTAATTTAGAGCATGCTATGTTTAAATTTTATGTTTTTAACAGAAGGCTATCACTCTAGTTCCATGCCTTAATGTCTAACAGCAACAACATTATTTTTTCCCCATATGAGGAACAATTATGAATGCACTATAACCAAAAAATCAAATCTTTACACAACCTATGTTAAATTCACCTGTTACACAAAGAGTCATGATCTGGGTTAAGTATATAATACCATGTTAGAATGTACCTAAAATAAGAAGTTTTAATCAACTTCTGCTGTAGCTTATGCACCAGACATAACTCTGCATTACTTCTGAAATTTTAATATATCTTAAAAATATACAAATCAAAATAAATTATTCTTATATATGTCTTTATATCAAAGAATGATCTTCAAACTTACAAAAAAACAGTCCAGAGGTAAGTATGTGCCATATCCCACTAGTCAAGAATTTAAAGTAATTGCCATTATGTCCAAGTAGTTAGCTTCATTCAACATACAGTTTATGGCCTCCTCTTCATTTATTATTTAGTTCACAGAAAGACGACAGACTCTTATTTCAGAAAAATGTCTCTCGACAGAGTGGACAGGTGGATTTGTTGCTGGATGTGAACCATTTGTACTGAAAGAGAAATAAGTTTAATATATGAATGCAAGCTGAATATCGGGAACACTGGTTTATCACCAGTAACAACTATTATTTATGAATTAATATAACTATCAAAACATTATACTTAAAAAACCCCAAGAAACAGTAGAACAATTTTCTACTTGTGTATGTATGGACGTATATATATACACATATGTCTTTGTATATGTATATACACATATTACACAGAGTACTAAAATTCTATTCTAAAAATGTGACACAAAGGAATTCTCACCCAGTCTCATTTTAGAATAAAAAGCTAGCATTCTTAAAGCAGTAGCAATTCCTCCATTGTATGGCCATAGAGATGCCAGCCTGTTCCAGTATACTCTAACCATACAACCAATGCCTGCGATGACTTGGATACAGTTAAATGTCATGGTCCGTAAATTAAGATTCAACCTTTTCTATTCCCATATCTGAGCTGATAACAAGATGCTGTTGGAACACCCTGCATAGATCTAACGGCTTATGTTTTAGTGAACACGAAACAAATAGTTATCTGTGAAGTGTAGCAAGCCCTCCCTCAATTACATGCCATTACAGCTTAGTACAACATCCATACAAATAATTTATGAGTTCAGTTACTCCCAGATACTCCAACAACATAATAGACAATTGATGGTATTACAATACAGGTTCCTGGTTCAAACTATAAATGGATATTTTGCCTATTTAAAAAGATTTCATCTAGGTACTTACCAAGCAAGCTGAATGAAACTTTTTCTTGCATGTTCTGCAAGCTTTTTTGGGAAGAGAATAGTTGGAACCATGAATGACTGAAAAACA